ATCCCAAGTCGGGAAGAGCAGGTGAACCAGACTCAAAAACGTAGGAAAACAGAGACAGTCTCACTCACAGCGTATGAAGGTGCCAGTGTTATAGGCGAAATTGACCAGAAGAACGTAGTAGACAATCAGGGCTCCGGTAAGACAGAGTGTGGAGGAAAAGAGACAGAGAACTCTGCCAGTTTTTCCCATGTAGTGGCCACAAGCCTTGGAGAAGTCCAGCATGTGGGGATTTGGATGACGCGTAGCAACTGCAAGTTGAACAAAACATTTATGCGTCAACTTGACAGCAGTAAGTGTTGAGGGCCTGACAGAGAAACTCTTACTAATAGTACATCTTAGGGGGTGGACTGGGAACTCAAAGTGATCTAAAGTTACACATAAAGGGGTCAGTCAACTTAATACTCCGGCAGTATGCATATTTTGCCACCACTCCGTAGTGTAGAGGACTAGGTCAAAGGAAGGGGTCACAAAAGCGGCTTTGTTGATTGTCTAATATCGGTTAGGACTGACAGTGTGATGTGTTGCGCTAACTTACCCGAACATTTTTGTTGATAGTCAGAAGGCGAAGTAAATAATCCAAATGCTTGTTAATGCTGACACAGTATGCGGAGTGTTCAACGTTTTTTTCCGATAATGTAAATTGTCTCCTGAATCAAAACCCTTATTTGTTGGTCATACTCAGAAAGTGGAATAAAGGCCTTTGACAAACTAACCGATTGAATTTTCGCAGTCGTTATTGAAAGTGATAATAGTGGAGTTGTACTCACCGATCGGTTGCGGGACTCACTCATCTCATTTTGCTGTAGAGTTTAGTCTTGAGTCCCGCCAGCGGCCGCGCAGCGGCTAGTATAAACAGAAGAACATTATCGACAAAGATTAGAATAGCTATTTCTGGCCCATTAGCCGTCAGCAGCTAGTTATATCCAACCCAGGTGGTGCACCATCCCAGACTCGGATCCACGACCTTATTGATTAGAAGTCGATCGCACTAACCATTGAGCCACTGGCTCGTTTTCCTACTGTTTTTGACTTGGAATATTGACAGGGCGAGATGGGAGGAGTGGCTTCCGTAGGCGATTCATGCGCTGCATCAAAGAATAAACTGAGTGATGGCCTGAGTCACTCCATCCGGTCAATCTGTGCATACAGTCCTAGTTATTCAATGGAAACCAATCAATCATGTTTTTACGCGTAAAATAGGGGTCATCAGCTGGGCCCAAAAAGAGCTGCGGACATCTTTACGTTGTCTTTCCGGCAGAATACGACGGGAGTGTGCGAGTTTGAAGTTGATCAGATCACCATACGCAACGCAGCGGTCACCGAACACATTGCGGTCATTGATGCTTTTCGTCACGTGCCATAGGGGAAAGCCATCGATTTGCTCATGTGACTGCTAATATCAGTGCCTCCGACAGCAGGGAATGTGGCGTACTATTCACCACTGTTCCAGCTTTCGCAGTTTATCGAACTAGGAAGTAAAAAGAACTACTGTTGACACTTTTGGAGGGCTCTGGGTAGAGGGGGGGCTAATTATAGTTATGTAGGACCAATACTTCGAGTAAAGTCTCTTGTCTACCCCCAGGATAATCCATTGCAGGTAATTATCCCTGCGCCTACCTGCTGTTGAGCATACGGTGGACCTCGTCAAAAGCGATGATCGCGCTGCCATCAGTTGCGATGGGCACATTCCAATTTTATCGGCATCTCCGAACAAATGGGTTCCATCAGCTAATACAAGAAACATTGAAATCTGCCAAACCTCCCCCTATTAATTACGTGAATTTGTTAGTTATCCGGGGGATTCTAGATTGATTGCTCAGGAAATGCTGCTTGCACAGGCAACTAACTGCATCAGCGATAAGTGAAGTTCATAAGTTACAGTGGGCTGGTCTAGTAACTTGC